ATATTTTGGGCATGCTGCCAGAAGGGACCAATCCTTGGAGAAGAACATCATGCCTGCAACAAGTGGAGGGTCAGCATATGAGAGGAAAAACACAGATGAGTTGGCCTGAGACAGAGATTGGGGCAATGAGGGTAGGTTTGTTGAAGTCTATGAGAGTAGCTCAGGACAAGGCAGGATTCACAGCTGTTCTGTATTGGGTCACTATGAGTTGGGGGTGACTCAATGGCACATAACAACAACAACATGTGTGTGTGTGTATATATATATATATATATATGGACAATATTCTGTCATTGACAGCATTCTATTTCAGGATAGTTCTTAAAATATTCTTTCTGTCAATAAATGAGACACCATCCCTCTTCAATTTTTCATGGCTGGCATAATAGATCACATGATTGGTAGATTCAAAATGACCAATTTTAATCTATTTTAGTTCACTAATGTGTAGGATATTGATCTGTATGTGTTTTATTTCATTTTTAACAACTTACAATTTCCCTAGACTCCTATTTCATAAATTCCATGTTCCAATTATTAATGGATTTTTCAGCCACTATTTTTCATTTTTAGTCTTGCCACAACAGCAAATAAAAGATTTAGTGACCATTACACTCTTTCCACTTCATTACTGTAGCTTCTATAATCCTTTGATGAGACTGATCTTCCCCACTGAATGTCTTCCATCCTGAGGTCTAATCTTCTGGTACCTTATCAGGTAATGTTCTGCTGCTATTCACAGGGATTAATTTTTCAGTAATTTATTGCTAGTCATATTACTTAGTCGGTCTTAGTGTCTGTTGAAAGCTGTCGACCATAAGTGAGCCTGATGTCATTTGAAACACCAGTGGCACAAGACTTCCAACATCAATGCAAGATCCAAGTCATCACAGTATGTCAAAATGAAAGATGAGTGGTCTCTAGATCTAGATATTAATTCCCAATAAAGTCTCCAATGAATTTTCCTAGAAAGTAACATTTCACAAACTGTGGCTGCAATTAATTTTGGAGGAAAGGGTAATAGAGGAATCTGAGAGAGAAAAATGGCAACTTTTACATTGTTTCCTCCAAACTGACTTTTCATGAATCTTTCCCTTGGTTGATTTTGTCTGTACCCTTCCTTTGTAGTAAATGATGACAATACATATCAGATAAGGGACTTATATCAAGAATTTATGAAATACTTGAGCACCACAACAAGATAAAGGTAAATAATCCAGTAGAAAAATGGGCACAGGATATGAACAGGCACTTCACCGAAGACGACATTCAGATGGCTAACAAGCACATGAAGAAATGCTCAAAATCCCTAGCCCTAAGAGAGATGCAAATCAAAACAACTATGAGATATCATCTCACCCCAGTCAAAATAGCAAAATTTAACAGAACAGCAAGCAACAAATGCTGGCGAGGTTGTGGAGAAACTGGAACCCTTATTCACTCTTGGTGGGAGTGTAAAATGGTGCAACCCCTGTGGAAAGCAGTATGGCGCTTTCTCAAAAAGTTGCAAATAGAGATACCATTTGACCCAGCAATTCCACTACTGGGAATATACCCTGAAGAGACCATAGCTGACATCCAAGCAGATATATGCACACCCATGTTTATTGCAGCTTTGTTCACAATAGCAAGGAGTTGGAAACAACCTAAGTGCCCATCAACAAACGAATGGCTAGAGAAGCTGTGGTATATTCGCACAATGGAATACTATGCTGCATTAAAAAACAAGGAACTCATGCAATATTATTCAAAATGGTTGACTCTGGAGAACATTATGCTGAGTGAAATATCCCGGTCACAAAAGGACAAATATTACATGATACCACTGTTGTAGAATGGGACTGTCCTTGGGGTTGGGGTGAAACTGAGTAAGATGGGTTCAATAATGTATACTGCACTGAAACAGAGGAGGGAGAAAACTGTTTAAAAGAGATACATAACTAGGTATTTCTGTCACCACAGGAGTGTAGAGCGAGGGCTACATGGTGGAGGGGACCTGGGGGAGGGTTTGTAAAACAATGAAAGAATCTTTTCTTTTACTTTTCCATAATTTTTGACTCATGTACTTATAACTGATTAGTCAAATTTGTGTCTTCTAGGTTGCAACACCCCCATGATACATCTTCAAGGATATGAACATGTACGGCCAAGCACAATCAATAAGAGTGCATCTAAATTCCAAAATCAATCTCCATAATAGTCTATGTGTTTCCTACTGCCAAAGGGGCCCTTTAGAGTAGTGAGAGAAGATCTTTACCCTGAAACCCTTTTCAGCAGGAAGTAGCTAAGAGAATACGCCATCCCCTTTTCCTTATGACTCAGGGTGAAGTCTCTCTCAGGGAGGAGTGATAGGGAATGGCAAAGGACACACTGACAAAGAAGATTAATCAGAACTGGCTTTGACAAGCACTGTGGTATTTGGACAAGAACAAACTGGGAGGAGGGTAGAGAGAATAGTGCAACAATGAATGAATGGAAACCCAAAATCTCTGTAAATGTTTATGAAAATTAATAAAATATAATTACAGAAAAAAAAATTAAAATAAAAGTAGAAGGTTGAGTCCTAAAAACTCTCCTAGAGAATCATCTTTAGAGTGCTCTAGTGGCCTAGGCTCTGTTACACAATGTGCTGCCAACAAAAATTCGGCACTTCTCTAGTGGGTCAAATATATTTCTCAGTAAATTTAAACAAGATAGAAAACAACCACCAAATTAAAGCAGGAATAGAAGGGGAAAGTGAGATAATAGTAGTTTAGGCAAATTAGGTCCAGGAGCAGGAAATTCAGAAGAGAAATGTAAGTGCAAAATGTGAGTCTCCTTCACATAGAAATACAGGTTACTGATGGGAAATAGTTTAGAATCACATACTGAGTAGAGTATTGTTGTTAGCTGCCATTGAGTCAACTATAACTAAGAGCAACCCTGTGAAAAATGGATCTGAACCTTGCCACATCCTGTGCGCTCATCATCTCTGATACATGTAAGCCCATTATTACAAGTACTGTGCCCAGCTTTCTTTTATCATCCATCTTTCCAAGGATAATGTACTTTTTCCAAAGACCATCTCCTCCTAACAATATGCCCAAAATATGTGAGACAAAGTTTCACCATCCTTGCTGCCAAGAAGTACCCTGGCTGCACTTTATCCAAGACACATTTGTTCTTTTGACAAACCATGAGATATTCAGTACTTTTCTCCAACATCACAACTCAAAGGCAGGGATGATTTTTCTGTCACTCTTAGTCAATGTTCAACTTTAAGATGTAACCTAGAGGCTTCTTGCATTTTGCTGCCCACAGCTATAGGTTTTGATATACTTGCTGGATGCTTCAAAGAGAAGCTGACATATGACTGCTCTGAGACAAACCTTCCTGGATGGTTGAGGAAACTGGGGCTTCTTGAATTTGTGTTGTTGAACTAAAATGAGAACTTTTTTCTAATTAAGGAATTAAGTTTCGCTATTAATCTGCTTGGAACTACTGAACTAAACCTGAACTTCTCTTATGAGATATTCTTTGCATCTCTCACTCCCCAACTTATTTCCCTAATAAACTCCACTCTTGACACTACAACTGAGTTACACAACAAGTCTGTGTGTCAATAATGAATACTAAACCCAGTTATGGGTGGCGAAAGGTGCAAGAACATGGGGGTGGCATGTCTAACCTAGATCCGAGGTACATTTACCCTCTGCTCCTTGGGAGAAAGATGAGCAGTCTTCTCATGTAAAGATTTATAGTTTCTTAAAACCAATGGGGGGGGCGGTCACTGAACAGCAGTGCATTTGGTTTTAGAAGGGGGACAGGCTAAAAAAAGACATGCAGAAAAAGATAGACTTAAAATTAAAAAAAAAAAAAAACCCACAACAAAACAAAACAGGCTTTTAGTTCATTTTAGAAACAAGGAAAAAGATTCCATACAAATGTGGTTCATTCTCAATGTCTAATCACAGAAAACAAGGCTGTTGCCACCTAATGTTTCTAATCGTCCCTGTGATATAGAATAAGTCTATTCGTTAACTATAAAGTAAAAAAAAAAAAAATCACAATTTTGAAGGAAGAGAATAAATGAAGAGTTGGACAGAGAGTAATAGTAACTACTGCTCACTTAACACATTGCCATCAAGTCAGAATAACTCATGGCGAAATCTCCAGTGGGTTCTCAGAGACTGTAAATCACAGAGAAAGAGATTTCCCGTATTTCTCCTGTGGAGCCACTCTTGGATTTGAGCCACCTTCTTCTGGGTCAGTGGTGCAATTCTTTACCCACTAGGCCACCAGAACTAGACCAGAAAAACTCACATATCACAAATTTCTATAGTGTTTTGATAAATAAAGCCAGTTACTAATATAAAATTATAACAAATTCGATGCAGTCTAGCAAATTAGAGAACCCATATTTGTAACTACTACTGAAGAGGAAAATAATTTACCAAAGTCTGACCAGAAATTGTTAATTTTAAATCTGCAGAAGCAAAAGAAAATATAATGAAAGACATAGAAAGATAAAAGTAAAGTCAGAAGAATCAAGGAGATATTTATAGAATCCAAAATAAGCAAGACAATAGAAAGGCAAAAAGCACAGTACATTTCAGAGGGATTTGTAAGGGTGAAGCAGCTGATGATTTCATAATTTGTTTGTTCTCTTCCTTCAAACACAGAAATCAGTTTCTATATAATCAGTTGCTATGCTGTATTCTTAAGAAAGGGATGCACAGTAGGCCTGAGGATATAGATGAAAGAAAGTAAAGGCAGCTTTTAAAAAAGAATCTTCTTTTAGTATTTCTAAATTATTCAAACACTGACATCTTTTTAATAATTACACGTGAGCAATAAGAATCACTATTCTAAAGTCCTAGAAAGTAATGCAACTATAAAAGATTTTACACTTAAACTTTTTAAGTTGGCAAAATTTTAGACCACACAACACTACATAACTGAATTGTTCTGTAAAATGACATGTTAAACTTCCCTCCTACAAATTGTTTTGGTTTACTTACTCAGACTTCTTTTCATAAGCCTTAGAACATTCTTCAATCCTCTTCTCTAGCTCTAATACAGCCTCTTCTTTGTTTAAAAGCATCTGTTGTGTTTGCACAAGTTCTTCTTCTAAAGTTTTCAGCCTAAAAGAAACAGTTGCTTCATTATAAAAAATATGATCACTTCCTACTAACTTCACCAATAAAGTTATCTTGTATTACACAGTCCAAAACAGCATCCACAAGTAGTTTTATTAAATGTAAATGCTTTGCTGTCACATGATAACAAACTCAAAGCACCCTCCATAAGAGTTAGTGAGGCCGTAAATCACAGGGGAAGAGATTGTTCATATCATTCCTGTGGATCCACTGATAGATTCAAACAGTCACAGAGGTGTTGCCTTTGGGACAGCCACGTGACTTCCTGCAGGCTATCCTACCAGAGCTCCTTTTGTGTTGTATTATGTGTTGTAAAGCTGGAACTGATTCACAGCTGGCCCTCTGGTGAAAATTGCTCCAGTGGGCTTTCAGAGGCTGTAATTACACAGAAGGAGATCACACATCTTTCTCTTGTGGAACAGCTGGCAGATTTAAACAGTCTGCCTTCAGGATGGCAGTGCAACTCTTTAACACTAGGCCACCAAAGTCAATTTTATTTCATATTGGTTAATTTCACTGAAATTAACCAATATGAAATAAAATCTTTGGCTGCATCAGTTCACAGGAAGCTACAATGCTAACCCAAAGGCAGCACCTCTGACTGTATTCACTTGCAGTTCCATAGGAGAAAAATGGACAATCTCCCACGCACATTATAGCCTCCAGAAACCTCCTGGAAGATCACGTATGAGTTCCCACTCATCAGTTATGAGTTAGTTCCAAGTTGACAACAATGACAAAGAGTCACAATAACATAAATGTGAAAAATTATATTTCTTGGTTGTTTAAAACAACATATCAAGTGTTATAGTTAAAGGTATAGGTATAGGTGTAATGGACGGAGCATAAAAGAACATTTCAAATTCCTTTGGCAAAACTGGGTAACAGAGTATTTTGTCAAACAGAAGCAAATGTGAAAGCAAATAGAAAAAAACAGGAAAATAGAAATACATTAATGACTACTGTATCTAAGAAATTAATATCCTTGGTACCATCAGTCAGGAAATAAGGAAATGCACTACACTGGGAAAATCTGCAGTTAGGCACTCTTCCAAATTATTGAGGAATAATGAGGTCAGTTTGAGGACTAAGGAGCAATTAATTCAGGCCATAGTCTTTCTGATCACTTTTTATGGATCTGAGAGTGGTGTAATTAATACACGTGACAGAAAAAGAATTGACATCTTTGCACTGTCGTGTTGGAGAATGGCACTGAACATCCCAGGAATGGCCCAGAGAACAAACCATATGTCTTGGAGAGGATCCAGCCAGAGTGCTCTTTGAAGGCAAGAATGATGACATACTTTGGGCATGTTGTTGTTGTTGTTCTTATGTGCCATCATGTCATAACAACCGTATGTACAACAGCCCTGCTATGCTGCACCAATCTCACTGTCTCCGACACACCTATACCCATTACCCCAGCCACTGAATCAATCTACTTCACAGAGGGTCTTCCTTTCCTCTGCTGACCCTCTATCCTCCCAAGCATGACATCCTTTTCCAAGGATTGGTCCCTCTTTGCAACATGTCCAAAGTATGTCAGACAAAGCCTCAGAATCTTTGCCTCCAAGGAGCAGGCTGGTTTAAACCTCTCTAGGTTGAACCTATTCATTTTCTTAGCAGTTCATGGTATATTCAATATTCTTCTCCAACACCACAGCTCAAAGGCATCAATTCTACTTCTATCATCTCTATTCATTATCTAGCTCTCTGCAAAGACCATGGCCTGGATCAGACACACCTTAGTCTCCAGAGTGACATCATTGCTCTTCAGTACTTTGGAGAGATCCCTAACAGCAGATTTTCCCACAGCAATACGTCTTTTAATGTTCTGGCTGCTGATGCCAAGAGTGTTGACTATGAGGGCCTATTCCTTGGACAGGGATTTGATGTTGGGAAATGTGGAGGGTCAGGAAAGAAAAGAAAGACCCTCAACTAGGTAGACTGACATGGTTTCTAATGTAATGGGCTCCTGTATATCAGGAAGTGTGAGGACGGCACAGGATAAAACAAGGTTCAGATCTTTTGTTTATAGGGTCTCTATGAGTCATACATGACTAGATAACTCCTACCAAAAACAACATATCTCAGAGAAAATGTATCGTGAACAAACTATAATTTTTATTTTCCCATAAACATTCACGTGACTTTACAACTTTTTATCTGTGCTTTTTACCTGTCAAAGTGTTCAAGGTCACAGAAATCTACTTTCTCAGGAAGAATTTCAGTACAGTGACATCTAAATTCATACAAGTGTTCTCGTATGGAATGGGAAAAAGCCCCGAATAAGCAAAGCACTCCTTAAGAATAGAAGAA